TGGCTGTAGTCCCCTTAGCCCCTTCCTCTTGTGAGTCCATGGTTCTAGAGACGTTAGTAATTAATTATTATGAAACAAGAACTAGATTTATAATCTCGATTTAAACAGGGTCTGTACTAATAAGCTTCCTTAGTTTTAGCTATGTACCGCGTGATGATTAACTTTTTCGGCACCGTGAAGTTCGCAAACAATCTGCGATGTTTGACAGTGAAAGATACCGAAGATTGCTTAAATAACATTTTAATTAATTAGTGTGAACGGTGATCAGAATAGTCTATAGTGCTAAAAAGCACTGTAAATACCCAAGCATATTTTAAAATTCGTCCAACAGTTCCTTTATCAAGTGTCTGACAACCTCTTTAGTTCCCTGCAGTTCTTTGAGTAGGTCTCTGCTAACTGTACACTCCGAAGTGTACTTTTTTCGTGCTTGCCTCGCTTGGTCAACTGTTGCCTTTTTCCTAGATGGTGGTGTAGATCTCACTTTCTCCTCGTAGTCCGACGAACGCATCGTCACCAATCATTTTTTTGTGTTGATAGGAATTTACGACAACGATGTTTTTCCGGCAAATCTGGTTCGATCCTAGGTTGGCATACGGTTGTCATTACAAGCGTGATTTTGTGACGTTAGGTGCACCAATACTTTCCCAAATTTGGTTGCCGGATACATATTTCGAATATGAGACAAAGAGTCAGTTGCAAAGCAAGAGTTTCTATCTTACCTTACAGAGAAGTGGAAGACTGATACTAAGCACAAGGTTTGTATTGTATAGTATGAAGACATCTTTATTAAATACTGCAAATGCATACACATGTAAAGTCGATGTGCCATTAATTAAAAAGGAACATCATTCCAATGTCAGTAATGAATGTCTGGCGTTTTTTAACACATTGTATGTGCTGGGCAACGTAAATGATTGGTTACTTTCACACCCGGACAGAGCCGTACACAGCGGGGAGCAAGGGGGCTATAAAAACTATATTTACGATTTTTAGAATGTCATTAATTATTCTTTGGATATTTGGGTCTTTTTCGGAATATAGGTCTTACTGCCCCCTGGTGAAAAAATCCTGCGTACGGCTCTGCACCCGAAAAATGTATTTTTATGTTCAAAAGGTACGACAAATGCAACCTCCGTCGCAGGGACTTTCCACCGGCTGGGAAAGACCCTGCTATCGGCTGGTCACGTGTCTCCCAGAATCTGGGAGATAGGGTGGGTACCTAAGTACGTTTTGTCATTGAGCGAGGAGTGAGCGAAGAAATCTGCCCAGAAATCATGCAGGAAATATTTACAAAATTGTATATTTTATTTGTCATGAATACTGTCAATGTTACACAATGGTAAATATCAAATAGAATGTCGGTGGGCAAAGATAGATCAGATTTCAATAGACAAATTATGCCGATACAGCTCGTCGAAGAAATCAACACGTCGCAAACGTTACAAGAAAATATATTTCTACACCAGTACTGACCGATGTGGCTGTTATTTAGCTGTTGGTGTCTATCCTAAACTACAAGGATTTATTTAACACTGAGATGTGTAACGAAATATAGAGATCTTTTGATTTCTGAAATATCGCAAACAATGTTGCTTGTAAACAATGCTACTCGGACTGCTGAAACTTCAGAACCATCCTCAGATACGAAAAACCAGAAGCTGTTGAAACTTGATGCTCAAGAAATATGTCGAAGTATACCTCTCTGTTATCAAACCTACGGTAAAATAATCCGACAATAGCCTACTCAAAGATAAGTCAAAGACTCGTTTGTGCGTGTATGCGTGGTGTTACTGGTGTATGTTACAAATACGAATACTGTATATGTTTCATGTTTGACATTTAGGACATTTAGAGAATGCAGTCCGCATGATAAATTTGATAAATAGCTTTATTAATTGTGACATTAGGTTTACTGTAATGAAATTACTTTACTGTAATGAAGTACTTTGTGAAATATAATACTGAATCAAACTCTATAGACTATGTAAGTGTTTATATATCTGTGGTGGGTACATATGACTATATATGACTGCATATGCATATCAGACTGAGTGTGATATCACGGTGTTTATGCCGTGGTTTATGTCGTTATTTATTCCGTGGTTTATGGAATTATCTAAGACTATGTTCATATTATAAAGTGTGTACTGTATATCAGAAAAATACTGTTATAAATATTGCTGTTATCCCATTACTTTATAGTGCATAGAGGCCAAAAAATTATCATGCTAAAGCTGTGATTGTATATACCACCTGATGATACACGCCCTGAGGCTGAAAATTGTTGTACTTTACTACCTAACAACCTCCTACCCTACCGATCTAATATATGACGAACTATTTAATTAAAAGTATTTTCAAAGATAAACCATCGATAGTTTTAAAGTGAGCATTTAGTCTCTGTTCGGCAGTGTCCACATGTTTACATTGTGATTTGGGACAAAAAGTTAATTACATTTCAAAATTTTATCAACCTTCACTATAAAATGGGACGCGTACTATTAGTAAATCTGCACAAAGTTTATCAACGTTTCAAACAACAAATCTAATGGCATATTTTCGGAACAGATAAAAGTGAAAATGTACAAACGTTGACGACTGACCAGTTCGGATATGAAAATATGTTTCAAGAGAATACCCAACTTCAAAGTTTAAAGTATACATTTTATTTGTTTTTTGACTTGACTGTTGATAAAATGCTACAGTGTTTTTGTAATTTAAAAGCAAACGGAGGTATAAAATAGAAGTTAGCGGGCGCTTCGAACCATATATCGTAAAATCCCACTCCTGGTATTTGAAATTTAACGTTTTCTGTGGAAGCATGTAATTTGATACTTTGCCACTCCCCCTTGGGCAATCAATTTGTGTAGAGTCACGTGACCAGCCGATACCAGGGTCTTTCCCAAAAAGACCCTGGGTACGAGGATGCGACAAATGTAGGTAAAAGAGCGGTTCTGATGTCAAAGGTTTTGCCCAAATTATTACATTTTTTCATTTGCAGGAATACCGTGTTAAGTGCATGTAGTATGCATCTGATATCCTTTCCTCTAGACGAACAGAAGTGCAACTTTTCAATTCAGAGCTGTAAGTATAGAATTGAATTATTGTCGAAAAAACGCAACGATTAATGTCAGCTTTTTAAATTACCACAACAGCCTGTTTCATTCCAGAGGAATCATCAGGTGGCTGATTCCTGCACCTGACCATGATTCATCTCGGATGAAACAGGCTGTTGTGACAACCTTTTGGGGTAACAAAAACTACATATCTGCTTTATCTATATGATATCGAGCACACTTTAGGATTTCGTGAACCAAAACACACTCATTGCAATCTTCATACAGTTATATCAAAGTAATCAGTGCAAAACACGCGAATGAGAAAACGTCGAGTAATATATGGGTTGATTCTTTGGCATGCTGTTATTGGTACCCTCAAACTTTCACAAATGCATCGTAACGAACACTTAAATTATTAGAAAGACCTTTCGTAAAATTGTTTTCCCGTTCTCTTCCTGTGGTATTTATCTTCAACTTTGAACTGTGGCATCATATAATTATGCTCCCTCGTTCACATGACTCCACATTTTGACACTCTCAACATTGCTTGCATGCAATTGTTTTATATTTGAGGAGACATGATACTACTGTTCAAGAAAAAATGAGTAGGAATGAATTGTGTGCTCTTGCACGTGTCGTATGTTTTCTTTGACACACACGATCTGGCAACATGGCAACACAATCACTGAAATGTTTGAAATCGTTCGCGGAGATGTGGGAGTGCATACCCTACCTAACATCATGTCATTTCTTGCATATCAGGGCATTTCTAAGAATTTTTCAGTGGAAGGGGCATGGAGGAAAACTAAAAATGGACCTGTTCACCTGCAGTATACTACACAGGGACCATGAAGCAATTGTACAGTATATGAAGTAAATTTGCGGAAAGCTGGTAATCCTCCTAGGCGGTTGGGGGGAGTATGGCGGCTAGTTCGTTATGAAAGCATTCCCCTATTCCATTCAATGCGAGTAGAAACCTGTTGATAAAGTACTATTAATAATGCATTACTCATGTAATTAACCTTTATATCATTTTAACTAGATGGATTTTCGACGAGGGATGTTGTGTACAGATGGAGTTCAAATGAGACAGAAAAATCAGTGAGATTTCCTGATGGTTTCTCAATGTCTCAGTTTACAATGGAAGGTTATCGAATATTTGAAAAGAATAGTTCCTACGAAACAGGTTTGTATGCTGTAAATTAAAAGAAATAATTGTGTACCCGCCAATTAAACGACATCCGGTTCAATAGGTAGTTCGACCATGTCGCCTTGTTGGATGAATTTTTAAAAGGTCTTTCCTGACATTATAATTGCATCCAAAATAGGCGAAAATAGTGACAAGTTTATGAGAGACTACTGCTCATGCAATCAGGTGAAAAGCTTCACTTTCACCTTAAGATTTTCCAACCTTGTGGCTAAGATTAATAATTAACTTAGTTAGTTAAATATTTGATAAGTTCATTTTTAATTAATTTCAGGTGATTATTCCGGAGTTATCATTGAACTCCATTTGAAACGACGATTTCTTTATTACATCATTCAGATGTATCTGCCTGCTGTGATGGTAGTCATGCTTTCGTGGGTGAGTTGAAGTCTATCCTTCTCGTAATCAGTATATTCTTGGTTTTCACTATTGCATTATGCAGTGAGTTGTCTCGTAATCAGTATATTCTTGGGTTTCACTAATACATAAAACGAATAATCGATTCACTCTGATAACTATGTTTTGTTTTAGAGTTGCCCCCCCCCCCCTGTCACTTCTGTGACGTCATATGAAACCCAAAAATTGCAGATTTGCATGACGTGTTAGCACACCAAAAGATTTTCAATCATTTGGTTTTCTCCCTACCCAGCCCATCTTCTGTTTAATACTAAAGGTCACCAAGCATGTTGGTGGGTACAGTAGATTTGTTAGTAAGTTGACAAGGTTATCGAAAAGCATGAAAAATATGAAATAGCTACATGGGCGAAAATACAAAAAAAATGACGACCACCCATTTAACTTGGACTATCTGCACACGGTAACGTTTTCGAGCGTTTTCATTTGTGTTTTCACGCCATTTACGACAGAAGCTGTGGTTTATTTAATATATTGGAGATATTTTCTTTTGGACCGTGAGAACAGGGCGTATCAAAACGATTAAAGGGACAAAAAGTTTTTGAAAACGCTGGGAAACGACGCCCGTGTGCACATAGCCTTAGAACCTTGTCCAGCTGAACGTTCGGGCAATTTGGCAATTTAATAACATTTATATTTCGTATTTCAGGTTTCCTTCTGGGTAGATAGTGATTCAGTACCAGCTCGTGTTGCGCTGGGCATTACAACTGTCTTAGCCATGACAACACTCATGTTTGGAGTACAATCTGCCCTACCAAAGGTTCCTTACATGAAAGCTGTTGATTTGTTCCTGGCGTTCTCTTTTGTTTGTGTATTTGCAGCTCTCGTTGAGTTTGCTGCTGTTAATTACTACGTTACAAACGCGCAAAAGATTATCTTACAAAAGAAGAGAGAAAGGAGAAAAGTGCTTAGAGAAAAGTGCAAAAGGGTGAGCGTTATCCATTTTATTCATTTTAGATTTATTTTATTTCACAAGATTTTTCTTGCAGTTTATTACCAAAACAAGTGCATAAATTGCGTTTGTCTGCTTTAGAACCCTAAATTTCAAACTATTGGTCAACTGGTATTGGGAATGCATACTGACGAAGAGGACATGGCGGCCCTGGGAATGAGTCCAGGAGATTTAGGAGGTAGTGCGCCTGCGAGTACGTACAGCGGTTCACCAGATACCAGTCCACACAATGAAGATCAAACAGCTGAACAACTTCTTCAAGAAGACGCAGGTCCTGCCAATTATGAAAAGGAAATCAAGTTACTGATGAAGAAAGTTTCTGCCAATGCCATCGACTATCATTCACGCACTGTATTTCCTGTCTGCTTTGCAGTGTTCAATATCGTCTACTGGTTTTACTATTTATACTTGGATAAACATTGAGCATGCGGTCATTGTGGTTTATTGCACATAAAAACATATATATATATAATGTAATCAATGTGGCAAGAGTGTTCTAAAGCGTTGTTCAAAACCTCAAGATTTTAAAGAGAAATTCCACATATTAAGCTCTAGTGTCATGTGTGTATGGCTTCCATTTCTGCAGGAAATTTCCCGGGGTAATGAACATGTTAGGCCTACTCTAGGGTGGTAACTTGCCTTAAAGGGAAATGGAATATAAATTTTTATTTTCTCATTTGAAAGAACTTATGAAACTATATATTAACTTCTTTTACCGATTTTTCACATGCGTGACTTGCTCAGTTCTTGAAATATTTTGAGGCGAATAGGATATTTGATATCATATATTCGTGTTCTGCCCACTAATATATTTTGGAAATCGATTGTTTTACAGTTCAGAACACGAATATATGAATATCACCCCCAATTATCGATATTCCGGAGCCTCTGAATATTTTCACTTGAAGTGATGTCCGCCATCTTGAAGTGATGTCCGCCATCTTGGATAAACTTTTGATCTCATTAACGATAGTTTTGGTGACGTCACAACAGTGATTAACGATTGGTAGATGTTTTAAAGTTTTGAGTGATCTTGATATTCGAAGGGCAGATATTCGAAGTAGCTCTGAGCGCAAAATGATTAGTGATTTTTTTCTGTGTTGGTGTTATATGTACTCAGGTGAATATGATGCTTGTGATGTTACTCTGAGTGTATAAATCCACACCAAGCAGGCTCGAAAAATATGCCTGGCCGCGGTGGGAATCGAACCTACGACCTTTGGAATACTAGCCCAATGCACTGCCAACTGAGCAACGCGGTCAGGTCGGTCGAGTACGCGTGATATTTCGGAACTGAGTCTAGTTCCTTCGACATCAATGCAATCTAGTAATCATTATTTTTTTCTGTGTTGGTGTTATGCCGTACTCAGGTGAATATGATGCTTGTGATGTTACTCTGAGTGTATATATCCACATCGGGCAGGCTTGAAAAATATGCCTGGCCGCGGTGGGAATCGAACCTACGACCTTTGGAATACTAGCCCAATGCTCTGCCAACTGAGCTGCGCGGTCAGGTCAGTTGACAGTGCATTGGGCTAGTATTCCAAAGGTCGTAGGTTCGATTCCCACCGTGGCCAGGCATATTTTTCAAGCCTGCCCGGTGTGGATAGTGCACTCAGAGTAACAGCACAAGCATCAAAATGATTAGTGTTTGTCTAAATAAAAATATTGGGTTATCCCTGTTGTGACGTGACATGGGTATCTACAAAAATTGAAGATGGCGGACATTTCATTCCTTTCAATCAATATGATTGTAGAAGTAAACAAGATATCAAAAACGGTATAAGAGTATTATATATAGTCTCAAAAGTTATTCCAAATGAGAAAATAAAAAAATGTAATGCCATTTCCCTTTAAATCGCCTAAAATCGCATTAAATCGCGGGTCAAAATTGACCAAAGTTCTCTTAAATCGCCTAAAATCGCCCAAACTTGCATTAAATCCCCAACAGAAAAGAAATTAAAAATATTTCCTAAATTGCTAAAACTCACAACAATTTTCAGGGCCGTAACGAAGAGGCTAAAGCAGGGGAGTATATAGTATCCGACAAGTGACAACATTTCAGTCGCTAATAAATATTTTTCCCAAAATTGTTGGCGAGCGAAATTATTAGTTGGAAGGCATGGAGAGCAGTGGAAAGACAACAGAGCAATGCTTCCCCTTGGTCTGCAGCCTATTGTTATGTAAACAGTTTACTGGCAAAACTAGTTTTCAACACAAAAGCAGATAAAATATGCAGCCATGATTCAATAAACACAGACCTAACTTAAAAGGCCTCAATGGGCCTTAAAGTAATTTGAAATAATTAAATTCCAGCTAGTATCTTTTAATATTTTTATAATAGTTTATATAATAGTATTTCGAGTTTTAATTTGTATGTAGTAACACGGCCTAATGAAAAACAACCTTTATAATTTTTGTAAATACTTATAGGTAATATGGTTGATTAGTTACCGTGTATAAAGATGTTGTAATAATAATAATAATAATAATAATAAACACGTAAACAAGGGTTAATATTTTTATAATAGTTTATATAATAGTATTTCGAGTTTTAATTTGTATGTAGTAACACGGCCTAATGAAAAACAACCTTTATAATTTTTGTAAATACTTATAGGTAATATGGTTGATTAGTTACCGTGTATAAAGATGTTGTAATAATAATAATAATAATAATAATAAACACGTAAACAAGGGTTAATATTTTTATAATAGTTTATATAATAGTATTTCGAGTTTTAATTTGTATGTAGTAACACGGCCTAATGAAAAACAACCTTTATAATTTTTGTAAATACTTATAGGTAATATGGTTGATTAGTTACCGTGTATAAAGATGTTGTAATAATAATAATAATAATAATAATAAACACGTAAACAAGGGTTAATATTTTTATAATAGTTTATATAATAGTATTTCGAGTTTTAATTTGTATGTAGTAACACGGCCTAATGAAAAACAACCTTTATAATTTTTGTAAATACTTATAGGTAATATGGTTGATTAGTTACCGTGTATAAAGATGTTGTAATAATAATAATAATAATAATAATAAACACGTAAACAAGGGTTAATATTTTTATAATAGTTTATATAATAGTATTTCGAGTTTTAATTTGTATGTAGTAACACGGCCTAATGAAAAACAACCTTTATAATTTTTGTAAATACTTATAGGTAATATGGTTGATTAGTTACCGTGTATAAAGATGTTGTAATAATAATAATAATAATAATAATAAACACGTAAACAAGTTATAATGTACAGGGTGTATCAAAAAAAGGTAATCGAACTTCAAAAACAGTTTTTTTAGCTTCCTAAACAGTCTCTTTATGTATAAAATTTACTTATGTCATTCTTTTATGCACTTAATTGTGGGTTCAGCAGAGTGCTGAGGCACTATTCAAATTCTAACAATATGTTATTTCAATGGTTTGGTTTTTTGGGGGACATCCTATACTGTACAGGGTGTTCCAAAAAAAACGAAAACTATTGAAATAAATGTATTGTTAGATTTGAATACCTCAGCACTCTGCTGCATGAACCCACACGTGCATCAAAGCTTGACGTAAGTAAATTTTACGCATAAAGAAACCGTTTAAGAAGCTGTTTTAAATTCCCAAGAGCAGAAAATCTTGCGCTTTACAAAGATATTTTAATTTCTTAATAAGTCAATATTTAATATATGCACTCTTGTCAATATTTTACGCATCTTTGCTTTCAGCTTAGTGCTAGGGGATTCAAATTTTAACAAAACGTTATTTCAATGGTTTTGCGGTTTTGGGGGGACACCCTGTGCAGGGTGTCCCAAAAAAACCCAGACCATTGAAATAACGTTTTGTTAGAATTTGAATGCCTTAGCACTGTGCTGAACCCACATGTGGATAAAAGCTTGACATAAGTAAAAAATCGTGCGCTTTGCAAAGATATTTTAATTTGTTAATAAATCAATATTATAGTATATGCACCCTGTCAATATTTTAAATTTAGCTATTTTTTAAACGTTTTTGAGTTGTTCTTGTTACGTTATTGCTGTTTTTAAAACACGTGTCTATAGTATTTATTGCAGTATGTATTCAATTTGATTCCCATTCAAGCGCTTCGTTTCGGTGCTCAGACGCTCAGACGCTTTATTTTCCCAGTGTTTCTCCGTAATTTCCTAGCAATAGTGTGATTATAATAATATGATAATTTGATTCATTTAATTAACTCATATTTAGTTTATCTGCAATTTCAGGGCGAAAATTTGAAAAGAAAGTGAACTAATTTAAGTCGCCGACGTGATCGAAATGCCGAAGCACTTGGTAAGCATAATGTCCATTGAAGGCGTTTCCTTCTAGTTTGTTTCTCGTTTTTAAAGGCACAGTTCAGCCTGTTGAACGATGGTTTTTAAGGCACATTTCAGCTCTTTTAATTGAAAAAACTAACTAGGAAAATCAATTAAGCATAATGTTTTTAACATTTTAAAACATTTTTATTGTTAAAAACATCGAGTTTACTATACTGATTTTGAATTATACTTAATTGATTTTCCTAGTTAGTTTTTTCAATTAAAAGGGCTGAATTGCGCCTTAAAAACCATCGTTCAAAAGGCTGAACTGTGCCTTTAAGCTTCCCCAATACACATAGAACGTCTTCTAGCATTGCTTTGTAGCCTTATGAACACACTCTGAGTCAAGTTTAGTTACAATATTGGTGAAACGTTTGTCCATACCGAGCGAATTGCCGACTTATTTTAAACATTTTCGAACATTTTAGCTTTTTCAGACTTGTCGTATACAGTTATTTCAATTAAGGTTGTCCACGAGCAAAGCGGAAAAGTCGAATACGAGCGCGAAAGGCTGCTGGGAATCGTTTTGAAAATTCATTAATTTGTTAGCGATTCCCAGCAGCCTTTCGCGCTCGTATTCGACTTTTCCGCTTTGCTCTTGGACAACCTTAATTGAAATAGCTGTATGTATAAATTGTTCTCTGAGAGGGAAGGCTGAGCTTTTTTGTTTCTTGAGGTTGTCTAAGCTGAATTTAATCCAAATTTTTTTACGTATACGTACGAAGTTCATAAATGCACGCATTCTTTAAAATTAAAATAAATTGAATTGGTCAACCACACCCTGTTTAAACCACATTAAATAACTCTTCCGTGTTTTAAAATTAAAAATTCATTGTTCAATATTTTAGACTGTCTCAAAGTCGATCATTTCGATGGCAAACAGTACAGAAAGATCTCTTCACAGATTTGAAGAGGCGCTCGCCTAGCAATCGAAGCAAAACGAGAAATTAAAGACGAGAAGGGAAAGGACAAATGAAACCAACCACCAGCTCGATTCCTTTGCGAACCCACAGCATTCATCGTCAGATTTCGTCTGTGAAAAGTTAGGAATAGATTTTCACTTATCCAGAGACTGTAACGAAAGCATATAATAACATACTCGAACTGTCTGTGCCAGCGAACTGCCTGAAAAATACAAGTAAAACTTAACACCATAGCAATGACAGAACGCTCGAAAGCAAGATAGATCTATTCTCATCAGATTTCGTTCAATCGGTCAATTGTGAATGAGATGAAAGACCTGCCAAGCGACTGTCGACGCGGTACCATCCAGATACCCTAACCAATACGCCATACCATCGTGAAAGATGTTGTACATTACAGAATGTGTATGTTTCTCGTGATTCTCGTTGTCCGTGTTCGAAAGTACATGGGGGACACTCTGAAGACGCCCAAATGCCCAAAAACAAATTTAAATGTGGCACATTTTTTTAATTTCGCAATTTATTCAAATTTTTGCATTTCTTGGTATTTGTGAAAAGCTCTTAACGAAATCGAAATGTTTGAAATTCGGAAGTTTGTACCTGGGAGTTTGTTTATTTGAAAGATATTTGAAATCAAATTTTGAAGTTTACATCATTGGTTTAAACGCTAGGTAAAAGCATGGCAGATGAGTGGTCTACCATTCGTCGAAGTTCGGTGACACTTCGGCTCGGACTTCCCGACCTACAGTCGAGTTGCTCTGATCGATTGTCATGATCAATTAGCACAGGTGCAAGGTCTGGCCAACCTTACA